AAGGCTAAGAGGTAAGGTCATAGTGCAACTGCAGTTGAGGATTTCACAGGTGTAGCAAATCTGTGTAAAGATGAGGTCCACGACACAGCCCCAGGAGTAGAGGAACAAGTTTAAACAGTCTGACTTGCGATATAGCAGTCAACAGCTGAACCTAGTAGGGAAGACATTCAGTAAACAGATGCGCGTCTGATGTATGTGGATATATACCAGTTTTTCTCAACATTTCTGTAACCCACACCCCTACTTTTCATATGCCTAAAACTCTCACATTTTCCCTCCTTCGGTGTTATCTTAAATTTCAAAATTAACTATCATGACTAAAATTAATCAAAGCAATGGTAATTTTAGAAGGAAAAAATTTATTCAGATGATATGATAACCAAGTCACTGTTAAGCCTGAACTTTTCTTTCCTGGGTGGTGTAGAAGATGCAAAAAAACACAAGCTGCTTTCAACAACACTCTTTACTCTTGCACTGTTTTCTCCCCACAGCTAGATATTACCAAAAAGAAAAAGCTTTTTAAGATGTAAGGAGAAAATGGAATAGCGAATGGAATAAAGGCTTCCAATCTGTTTAGACGTTTTACACTCGTTTCTCTGGAGTATTTATCTGGAAGATTCTAGTCAAAATAATCAGACTTTGAGTTTCACAAACTCCTCTTGAATCTCTTCCAGTGAGGACTGAACATTGGTGTGAAATACATTCCTCCCAAAAGCTACCAAAGGTAGGTTTTAGGAACAAGGTCAGGAACATATCTGAAATAATTCTGAATATTTCACTTTTTTCCTTGAAATAACATTCCTGAATCTGGTCCTCGAAACATTGGCCAAGAAAATTAGACATTTTTAGCATGAGTTTGCTTATATATACATATACATATGCTTTATTTTTATGGTTGTATTTTTTGCAAGTTTTGAAGTATTTCATAATGTATTTTAAGCTTCAGTGTGTTAAAACTCTGCTGAAATTTTTAATTTTTTGCAATTTTAAAGTATAGGTTCTCTTTCATTGTTCCAACATTGGGGTTCTGTCCATAAATTCAGCTGAATACAGTTCTCTTTGACAATCAAGAAACTTTTAGTATGTACCAGAAAACACTGAATGGTATTCAGATGTTCAAAAAGCAAGACAAACTGGGATGGAATGTACTGTTTCTCATAATGGTCTATGCTGACAGCAAGGCTGAAGATTTCCAGTAGATTATGGGGAATTGATGGAAGTTGATGCTTGGTGGTGATGGCTTCAGTACATCTTGAATGCAAATTATCTTCAATTTTTGCCCAGAAAACGGGTCTAAAACACAGAATTGCTGTAGTGCCATCAACATATACTCCTATAAAATTTTCTCCAACTCAGTTCATTTGATACAGCTTCAAAAATAGTCTTTGGTGGTCAAGTACTAGGCTCATGAAAAGAGCACATCCAGTTTTGAGAGTCCTCTTCTGAACATAAGCAAAGCAGTTTTCTTCATCAGGAGATTCATCTCAACTAGTACCAATGAAGGGTGAGCTGATGTTTCTTAAAAGCTGAAGTTTGATATACTCAGTCATTAATTCAGAGTTAAGACTGCAGAAGCAGATGAAGAAATTCTGGAATTCCTTAATTTCCTCTCAAAGTTGTGGCAGCACTCGGAATGCAAGGTTTCACAAGTTTCTCCATTTTTTTCTCCTTTGTAATTAAAAGGGCTATTTAATATTAAGCTTTCATGGCCTCCGAAGATTCTTGTTAACATTCCAATACTGTCTAATCTTAAAACTGCAGAGAATTATGCTTTGCAGAACACTCCACCGTTTTTAGTGGCATGAATTTTACAGTGTTTGGCATAGTGTCACCACCCAACATTTTCAGATAACACAACCAAAGAAGTCGACCCTATCTTCTGCATCATAACATGAATATATACTTCATAAAAGCCTCAAAAAAATTTTTGGCTGACATTTTTAGCTACCTCAAAGAAGAAAACAGAAAAACAAGGAGTACTGATGATGGAAGCATCTGGTCCCTCTTGCAGAGTGATGAATGATTTTATTGGCCGCAGGTGGGTGGCAGGGCAGTCCAGGCATGCAGTTATGCCTGAGCCCCAATAAGTGAAATCTTTGTTCATTTTCTTTTTATACACCTGTCTGCCACCTAAAACCTGACACCATTTAGTGGTGCCCTAAATAGTAATTATTAAATCTAAATGATCTTACTTTCATAATCCTCTGATTCTAGCTTGCAGAGAACTCTAACTCATGGGATGGACAAAATGGAAGATGTAAATAAACTTTTCAGGGCTAAAAAGCCTCTTCTTACACAAAATCAAATTTTAAAAGAACATTGACCTCAAAACAATGTAATTGTCCTGGGTAAGTGATAGAAATAGGTGTATAAATGGAACCATTTCCACAATGACTATCTCCTGTGGCTACCCAACCTTTCATACCTTTCATACACCTCATTGATTATAGGTCTTGCTCTGAATGCTTTCATGCTCTATCTTCTTTGTATTCCCACCAGTCAAGGAGTTCTTTCCAACTTTATTTCCTATATTATGAAAAATTAAGTATTTTTTTCAACATTACAGCACTAAGTATGATTTTTATAAACTATAATTCTCCCACACCCTGTAATCCTGATATGATTTGTTGGGGGAAGGGGAGAGAATGTCTTTCTCTCCTCTTCCTGAACATCACTGACCTATTCCTTAAATCTGTTGGTTACAACCTCCTCACTCAATGCTCCTAGAACTAAAAAGCTTGATTACCTCCACAATAGATAAAAAATGTGTGCTGAGTTAGTCGCTAGCAAGAGAGAATTCACTGCAGCCAGAATCATGTGATGAATAATGTATACTAAAAGATATTAAATACATCATTATACAAAAATAATTCTTTGTAATGTTAACTATTATTATGAGTTTTGTTTAGTGAAATTCTAAATCATGCTATTATAATTTGCATGCTTACCAATGAAAGGAAGTGGCAAACTATGGAACCACATAAAGAATAAGAGAATTTTAGCAGGGCATGGTGGCACATGCCTGTAGTCCCAGCTACTCGGGAGGCTGAGGCAGGAGGATCACTTGAGCCCAAGAGTTTGAGGTTGCTGTGAGCTAGGCTGACACCACAGCACTCTAGCCTGGGCAACAGAGTAAGACTCTGTCTCAAAAAAAATAAAAATAAAAAATAATAGGAGAATTTGTCAATTACTATTAGCTTTTACCTAACTTACATAAAATACAAATTATTACCTCTTTAATATAATTCCCATATTTGGCAACACCATTACCTAAGTTCTAGTATATGTTTGAAAACAAAAGTATACCTTTATATTTCAGAAAGACATTATTCCAATTTATTTGACTTGGTTTTGCTGTTTGTTTATACTTGCTGATTGCTTTATAAGTAACTTCTAAGGTTTCAAATCAATGTTACCTGGCTTCGGAAGAGTTGAAGAGACCATCTCTTTTCTGTCTAAATTGTCTTTCATTTAAACTTTCAGTTTCAGAATCCTTTCCAGAAAATCCTAGCAGAGGAATGGAAGTTTATCTCTTTCCCTCAGCTTCAGTGTACTGAAGCCCAGAAGCATAGGACATAGTTTCTTCCATGGGCAAACTTAGTTATTACCCTGGGTAAAAACATGGTGCTAGGGTTAGTCTTTAAGGTCAGATTCATATGATAGAGGTAGCAGTGATTTATAGTTAGATTTGTGTCTTAACTGTGCATTTACCAATATTTACATAAAATAGGGGATGATATAATATCTAACATATGATGCCTGCAGGACAATATTTTGTGTTTGTGTTTTAACTGCAACCCAGAGTAAGCAATATATATTTTTTTCCTTTTTTCACTCTTCGCAGCAATATATTTTACTTTGAGACTAACTATACACATGTATATATATACATATATATATATATAATTTTAAAGTTTCATAAAACAATACTCACCCTTACTATGCTCCATTTGCTCTGATACTTTCTCTTATTTCATTTTAAAATAATGCTGGCATGACCCATTTATTTTAAGACCCACTAATTGGTCAGAAACCATTGCTTCAAAACCACTGCTATAGGAGAACATGAGGAAATACATTTTATAAACTATAAAGCACTACTGAGATGTGAGCAGCTGCTATTGAATATCTGGGTTAAGACTTTTTTTTTTTTAATTTTAAAGAGATTTACTCTGAGCCAAATTTGAGGACCATGACCTGGAGCCATGCCCAAGAGGCCTTGAGCAAGTGGACTCCCTGGGTTAAGACTTTTATGGGCCTGAAGACAACCTCTCCTTCCTTGGGCACTGCTAGGTGTCAAATCCACCTAGACTTTTGTTACCAAAAGTCTGTATTCATGCTCACTGTCATTAAGACAATTCTCTAATGCTTATAAGAGCAGGTCTAGAAAGCAAGGCATTAACCTTCGTTTAGTGCTTCTTGGTTTATAAAATATATGATCTTTAACGTACGTGACCTCTTTTAATTCTAACAATCCTGGGAAAAAGTGAAGGTTAAAGAGGTTGAGACCTGCCCAAAATTATATAGTAAGTGGCAGAGCCAGGTCATCTGATCCTAAATGCCTCACTCCTCCCACTGTGGTAAAATACCAGGAAAGGAAAGTGATTAGGATATGAGATTCAGTCTGATTGATCAAAAATTTTTATGTCCTCTGCATTTCCCTAGAGGGAAAATGGACCCTATTGAAGGTGGAGAAGCAACCTCAGACTTTGGGAGGTGGGCATGGCCAGTTGCTGCCATTAGTTCAGGTCACGCCTGGCATTTCTGTCTACCAATAGCAGTCATCTGTTTGAAACTGCTTGGGCTCTGAGATCCCAAATGTCTATTATCTACAAGTACTGTGGCTTTCCATTCTGATCTGTAACTGTCCCAAAGACTTGGTCAAGGACTCAAGACTCACATTAGAAGTAAATTAAGTACTAGGTATCTGTTACCTATCCCCCTTGTACTTAGCTAGACTGACAGTATTAATAATAGTGGTCTGCTTCCAGTGACTCTCATGTTTGTTTAGCTTCCTCTGGGGAAACCAATCTGCCCTCTCTCTCTTCACCGAGCTCCCTTTTCCCCTGCAAATTAAGTTCAACTAGCAAGTACCTGAGGGGTGGGAAAGGGATTTCTTGTTACTTCTCCACTGCCTTCAACTCTCCCATATTCCCTCCTTATTCCTCTCACCTTATACTCCTGCACCACCTCCTCCAAGGGCACCACGCTGTGCTGTTTGTGGCTCCTGGATTCTCGGCACACCACGCAGATGGCCTCTTTGTCAACCTCACAGAAGAGTTTCAGGGCTTCCTGGTGTTTGGAACAGATGCCATGATCGTTCCCTGGGCTCCCTCGATAAGGAGTGGGGCACATCTGACGAATTATCTGGACCATGTTGGCCAGCTGTAGGTTGGGACGAAAGCTGCGACGTGTAAAGCTCTTTCGGCACTGGGGGCAGGTGAATTGCCGTGGAGGGGGCGGAGGAGGAGGTGGGTGGATGTCAGGATACACCTCTTCATCCTCTTCCTCATTGTAAGCTTCCAATACCTCCTCCTCTTCAGGGTAGACATCAATTCTCAGGTCATGTCTCAAGCCTCCTAGGTAATAGTCCCAATCATCCTCCTCCTCTTCTTCCTCCTGGTCCCACCCATAATTCACATTGTCCCAATTCCTTGCACCATTGTAACTAACCCAGAATTCATCATCCTCTTGGTCCTGGAACAGCTCCTCGTCAGCATTCCCCCGATACAACACCTCTCGAATGGAGTTGTCCCATCCACCGATGGCCCCCACGGCTTCCCCATCCTCCTCTTCCTCCTCCCATTCATCTTCTTCCTCGTCCCAGTCTTTCTCATCCTTACCCCACAGCTGGGTCACACACCCTCGGCAGAAGTTGTGGCCGCAGGTGATGGACACGGGATCCTCGAAGTAATCCAGGCAGATGGCACACACCGCTTCCTCCTGAAGTGTCTGCATGGGGTTGGGAGTAGTGGCATAGCCAGCCATCTTAATGGGCTGCTGGCCGGTGTAGATGCGTCAGCTCGGAGCTGAGGAGAGGGGATGCGCCTGCAGGCCTGTCTCCAAGCTACGTTGGTGACCTAAGCTGTCCTCAACCTTGCTCTTCCTACTCAGGCTAGCAAAGAAGCCTCGATCCCCTCTCTAAGGACGCGATCGCCCCCGATCTAGACTCACAGACGCCCTCTGAGGTCAGCAGGGACAGAACCAGGCTGCACCCCCTAGTGCCCTCCAAGGTGCAGCGTGCAATCCCTGGCCCTGTCACGTTTCTCGCTAGCCTCAGAGTTTGCCCTACTCGGTGGCGTCCTCCTCAGGTGCTGGCGCTCCTCACCCAGCCGCAGGCGACAGGAAATGACGTAGGCGCTCTATCCCACACTCGGTGGCCGGCTGGGCTGTCGGAGGACCACATCTCTATGGTGTTCCAGGAGACGCGCCCGCCGTGAGTCCCGGCCGCCCATCCAGCCGCACCTCATAGGAGAGACTGACTAGTGGCAATGGGCGGAGACAGAATGAACTTAAGCCACTGAGTGGCGTAAACGCTGCACTAGTCAGCCGGACACTGAAGGTCAGCGGCCGCTCAGGAGAGCCGGCACCCGGGAGCGGACCCAAAGGGTGGCGAGTGCGGCGGCAAAACTCAGATGCTCTCGTGCACCTCCGGCCCTTCTAACCGCAGGGCTTTGTGGTGGGGAGGACTCAGACGCGCCGGCAGCGCGCCTCGGGGGCGTGGCCTGCTGGAAAGAGACTGGGCCTGAGGTGTGGCGGGGTGGGTCTTGCGGTGGCGGGGAGTGGCGGTGATGTCAACGGGTTTCCTGTGGGGACTTACGTGCTTCCAACTTTCCTCCTCAAACCAGTTCACCCCTTTTCCTGTTACCTGCAGAGCCTCGGCTTCCCAACCCTGACCTCTCTCGCAACCTTAACTTGTATGTCCATCTCCGCTGTCCTGAGACCTCTTCAGACACCTCAAATTCAGCATGCCTTACACCTACTTCTGCAGATCTTTTTGCCTCCCTCCATCCATAATCCTTCCATTTACATTTCACCCATCTATCCATCCATAACTCATGCCCCTACTCACCTAACCTTCCTTCCACCTTCTCTCTCTCTCAAGAGGCAGGGTTTTGCTATGTTGCCTAGGCTGGACTTGGCTCAAGGGATCCTTCTGCCTCAGCCTCTCCAGTAGTTGGGACCACAGGCCTCCGCCACTGCACCTGGCTAACCCATTCATTTTTAATCTATCCATCATATGCACGTATAACCCATCCATTTATCCGTCCACTTCCATTTGTCCACGTGTATGGACACAACAATGAGTAAGACATGATTAGTCCCTTCAAAGAATACAGAGTTACAGGCACGTGCTCATCCTTCATATAAGGTTTTACAAGGTGTTTTTTTTTTTCTTTATTTATTTGTCCCTCGGTTAGAAGTACATTGCACAGACTTGCACATATGTAAGAGAGACAAAATTTCTGGAAATTGTTCTTTCCCTTAAGACACCCTGGTGTTTTCTATTTTATTTCAGTAAATGCTGTTTAAGACCCATTGGATCAAACCCCTTACGTACAATGAAAAAAAAAAGACCCATTGGAGTGATTACACCCCTCACTAATTGGTCACTGGTTTGAGGAACATCACCTGCCCCAATGGAAACTGAAGCACACCCTAGAGCCTTTCCTTTGCCTCTCTGGACCTGAGCCAAACTGTAAGTTTCACAGCACAAGGATGGTATACATTCTGCTCAACACCGTACACACAGTTCCTTTTTCATAGTGCTGAGCACATGGTGAACACTCCCTACATATCTGCTGAATAAATAAATGAATGAACAAACCCAGCAAATTCCAACAATCAAGTTCTGCTGATTTGTTTCTCCTCAAATCTAGCCCCTCCTCTCCATCCTTATTCCTGCCATTCTAGATTTGACCTCATCAGCCTCAGACTGGACAAAAGGAAAAATGTTTCCATGCCCTCTCATTTCAGTCCATCCTGCAGCTGGCAGAACCATCCACCTGAAATGAAAGTCTGACCCCTTCATAGCCTTTAACAAAATTCCTTTAGTGGCTCTCAATTATTTCCCCAGCTTTATCTAGAAGAACCCTGGAGTCTGTAGGCCTAGGGAGTTGAATTCTGGGTCTTCCACTCTGCTTCAATCGGAACAGACCTATGTTTGTCTGCTTTGTAAAATGGACTTCTTTGTTAGATTTTGTTTAAACAAAAGGACTCAAAGTTTTAGAAACATTTGAAAACCATAGGTCTGCAGTCCCCTTCTTGTGATAGGCATTGCCATCTATGTCAGTTAAGTCTCTAGGACTTAGATGCTGAGATGGCATTAGGAATGCAAGTGGTATATTGGGGGGTGGTTTTGTGTATGAAAGCACAGGGGAAAGGAAGCAAGATTGGGCAAGGAGGCCTCCAGCCATGATGCAGGTTTGTCTCAGCCAACCCAGTGCAGAACTCTGGAGCCAGGAATGCCTGTCGAGGTGAAACCACCCTTTACAAATTAATAAAGAGGTACAAGGCGAGAACTGTGGTAGGGGCCTAAAACTCTGCAAAGGCACAGACATAGCTAAAAAATAATGATAATAACCAGCTACTGTCCCCTTGTGTGCTTTCCTGCAATTGTTACTTAGGAGTCACATTGCTGATGAGGATAAAGGTTCTTAACTTTCCCCATAGATAGCATCACCCTTGTGAAACCTAAGGCTAGTTTTTGAGGTATCTTCCAGGCCGTGCATTCCAGTGGAACAGATGACCCACCCAGATGATCCACCCACCCAGTGGACTGTACTGAGAAACCAACTCAGCTAGTATTGTGATCCCCACCCAAGAACCAACTCAGCAAAGAAGAGGATCTCTATGGAACCTGAACCCAGCCAATTAGCCGACCCAATTGCCTAGCCTTTTGCCCACCAAACTGTGTTTAAAAACCCTTTCTCCCAAATTTTCGGGGACATGGATTTAAGAAATTCCTCCCATCTCCTTGCGTGGCACCTACAATATTAAACCCTTTCTCTGCTGTCTCAGTGTATTGGCTTCCTATTGAGCAGTGAACCTGGTTGGGCGGTAACAGAGGAATGCCCTGCTGGGCAGAAATGGCCAAGCCCGGAACCACCATCATGCTTAGTCTTTGACTGGGGGCTGCCTGGGGAGAGTCTGGCCTCAGCTCAGACACTGTGGCAGGTCCTGAAGGCCCTGGGCTGGAGCCTGTCAGCTCGTCTCAGTCCTCTGATGTGAATGGCAACTTTTTGCAAGATGATCAGAGCAGCTCACCCCATGACCACCATCCAGGACCCTACTCTCCTTTAGTCTCACTTTTGTCACTTGTGGAATCTACTCTGGTGACACTCCTCTGTGGTTTGCACACACTCATAACAAGCTGTTGTTTCTGTCTTCGGGCACGTTATTCTCTGCCTGGAAGGCACTTGTCTCACTGCTTCACCTGGATTTAATTCCTAATTATCCTTTAGCTCTCTGTCCAGACTCAAGTTCCTGAAGGAGACTGTTCCCAAGGCTGGTGCCAGTGTGTGTTGGATCCCAACTTTGTCACTTACTCTGTATGACCTTAGATTAGTTTCTTAACATCTCTGTGCTGCAGTCTTCTTATCTGCCAAGTGACTGTTGTCAACAGAAAGGAAACTAAACTGTAAAATAATTTAAAGAGGTTTATTCTGAGCCGAATATGTGCAACCACAGTCCAGAGAGCCACGCCCAAGAAGCCTTGAGTGGTGGACTCGGTGTGGCTGGGTGACAGTTTGGTTTTATACATTTCAGGGAGACAGGGGTTACAGGTAAAGTCATAAATCAACATGTGGGAGGCATACATTGGTTTGGCCCGAAAAGGTGGGTCATCTCGAAGCAGGGGCTTACAGGTTATAGGTGGGTTTAAAGATTCTTTGGCTTGTAATTGGTTAAAGACATGAAGCTTTGTTTAAAGGCTTGGAATGTTTTAACATAGGGAGCTGTTTATCACAGGTAAGCCACGCGTCATAGATTTGTTGTGTAAATTGAGGACCTGCAGGTTCATCTTGCATACTCTTAGGCCTGTTAATGAGTTATAAAGGATGTCCCCAAGAAGGGAGGGGGGCATGGTAAGGCATGTCTGACCTCTTTCCTCCTGGCATGCAATTTAGTTTTAGGATATTTTCTTTGGCCACGAGGCGGTCCATTTACTTAGCCGGTGCAGGGGGGAGCCTTAAAATTTTATTTTAGTTCACCAGAGTTTGGTCTTTTTTTTTTGTTGACAGTTATTTGAGCATAATTTATTACAGCAGCTGTTCTAGCCAGTTGCTCACTCCTCCCAGAGAAACCCTCTATAAAACCCAAGGCTTTGCCCTCCCTCGGTGTGGGTGCTCTTTAGGCCTCCACCCATCTACACCCAGATGCTCAAATAAACGGCATTTTGCTACACATGAGCCTTGGGCTCCAGACCTCACAGTTGTGCCATTTTGCAATTCCTATCAACGGTGTGTAAGAGTTCCACTTCCTGCACATCCTCAAGCAATGCTTGGTGCCGTCGGTGTTTTTAATTTTAGCCATTCCAGTAATTGTGAAGTGGCATCTCATTGCGGTTTAACTTGTATTTCACTAATGATTAATGATGCTGAGCATCTTTTCACGTGCTTATTTGCTATTCTATTACCATTTGTGGTTAAGTGGCCGTTCAAATCTCTTACCAAGGGCGGGCGGATCTGCGGGGAGGGAGCGGGGCGCGGCCAGGCCAGGCCTGGGGCTCCGCATGCTGCAGTGGGCTAACCCGAGCCAGCTGCCCGCCCGGAGCCAACCGGCGGGCGTCCTGGAGGCGGCGGCGCCGAGAGGGGCCCGAGGCGCCCACGCTGGTCGGGAGGCGGCCGTGGCGGGCAGCGGCCCTGGGGGGCGCGGCGTTGGCGGGCGGGGTGGCCCAGGGCCCCGCGTGTACTTTCAGAGCCCCCAGCACTGCAGGCGAGGGCCCGGCGGTGCGGGCGACGAGGGCCCAGTGAGGCGCCACGGGAAGGTCACCGTCAAGCGCAGCCGGGAGGAGCTACGGCGGCGCCTGACCCGGAGCGCGCTCTCGAGCAGCCCGCGCGC